TATGTTGATTTAATAAGTCTATCGGGGTAAAATATTGTAGTTTTCATATTAATTGGTATATCATTTCCCTGTTTAAAGAATAAGGATGAAATCCCTTTTTCCCAAATTACAAAAAATATATATACATATATATTGTGACTTTCAAGCAGCTTCTGAGTTGAATATTATCTGAAAAATCCAAGTGAGCAGGACAACAACCTGCCATGATTGCCTTGAATTGAAAGGAAATTGTCCTGCAAAGTGGTTTTCTCCAGAATTGACAAGAAATGGTTGAAGTGACATATAATCTTGAATGGCAGACTATGTACACATTGGAGCAAGTTATAATTTTTCCAACCATATCGTCAGATAAATTGACGAAGTTCATAAATATTGACTATATACATGTGTATCCAATGGAAAAGAACAATAAAAATTCATAAGGGTTCGAATGATTTGGCTCCTTGAAATTGTGCACATTAATTGGCAGTTTTGAAGAACTTTTCACAATTATAAGACTGTTTTAACTTGTAATGAGTCTAATAATGAGTTGATGATTATATCTCAAAAACAAATTCCATAATTGGTAACCATTCGTTGCTAAATAAATATGGCAATTGGCAAAAATGGAAAGTGGCAGATATTTGAGTATCATGGTCTAGACATGGGTTTTGGTTAGGTAGATGAAGGGAAATTCTTTTGGAGACTGTCAGGCTTTGGGTACGCATATATTGGGAGTGAGTTAGGTGAATGAAGGGGAAAGGGTTGATTGGTAGAAGTTTTGAAGTGGATGAAATTTATGTTGAGGAGGGGAATATTAGCCAAGATCTTTGTTTCTTAGTTGGAAACAGTGGAGAAATTGTGCACTGGACTTTTGGTTGTGCAAGAAGAAGATTTTTCTTTATTAAAGGAACAGGACTGGTAGTTTTTTAGAATCTTTAAAGTGTGGGTTATTTTTTTTAACAAAAATCTGAACCTCATGCACAAGTTTAATGGTCTGAAACATAGTCCCCTACCATTTCACCGGCCAGTCTTACCTACTTTCAACAGCATTGTGAATAGCTGTTGTGCTTTTTGTCCCTGCAAATCCCATCTGGACAAATTTCGGATAGCATTTTCAACATTTGAACTCAACATTTTTTGGCAGCTAATGGGGGACACATATGCTTTTGGTTGATCAATATTGAGCTTATATATCAAACACTGTTGGGACAATGGAATTGACCCCTTTACCAGACCGCGCTGCATAGTCAAGAGTAGAGTCATGAAAATAATTTTCAAGATTGCAGATGGACATTTTTCTTTTCAATGCTACATTGCTAAATAATTTTCTACTGAAATGATTTTAGATATATTGAAGCATTCTTATTTTTGTAGAGAACAAATGGTATCTGAAAGCATGAAATTAATATCTTTCATGATACTGACGCCTAGTGTGTCACAGTGAATGAACTGAAGTACCTTTACGTATTGTTCCATTCTTTGTAGTCTAGTGCTCAAGAGTTTTTAAGTTCGTGCTAAGTACTTGTCAAGGGAG